TGGTTTCTATGGGACATATTTGAATTTGCAAGACCATCGATAATCAGTGGAAAAGGTTATGCTACTTAAGTAGTCATTTTTTTAACCAAGTACCGTTTCTACAGGACATTAAAGAGCAGTGTATTCAAAAGCTGACATCCTGAAAATTTCGAAATATTATAGGATTATGCTTCAAGGTAATCGGTACTACAACTGCGCCTAAGTAATCCTTCATAATCGAAAACGCATTTCAGAATTTCAGCCAACACTTTTTGAAATCGGTTACTCACTGTGGAATATGAACTGTCAGCCTCCCCAAACAGCACAGAAAGTACCGAGTTACCAATCTATACAAACGGTGTGCGTATTATTTGGGTATTCACCCCAACACTTCGATAACGAGTTTGCCTCTTCTTACAAAATCAAATGCTCAATTATTTGCTATCCCAGCCAGCTGATGAAGTTCTTACCGAGTGCGGTTTTTGCAGGCGTCCGGAGAGGAATTCATTCAAAATACGGCTTCCTAGAATGACAGAAATATCTAGGGGTTATGTTGTACGACGTTCAATATTTCAATCTTAACCAAGTAATCTTCTGTGATCAAAAACATATTTCAGAATTTCGACCATCAGTTCATGATATAGACCAGCTACTATACAGTAGGTGGGCTAACTAATGAAATGTCAACCAAAATTTCGAAATGCGTTTTCGTTTTGAAAAGATTAGTTAAGCTGAGTTGTAAAACTCATCATTGAACAGCATAATTCTATAATAATTCAGTTAGCCCAGGATGCCGGCTTTCGAACGAACTTCTTTTGGGCTGCATGCAAAAAATGACTACTTGCGTGGCATGCATTTTTCTCACTGATTTTCGATGCTCTTAAACGTGCATGAAAATATTCATTCCTTGGCTCATTCGATAGAAAATTACGTCTTCTTCCAATTTTATACTCGAAGGAAAGGTACAATTCGGTTCTAAAAGGTTTCTAATTGTGAGATTTTTTAATACCGTGAAATGGTCGTTCATAAAACGTCATGTCTCTGTATTTACCAATGTGGCTGTAATGTCAGCAATATGAATCAAATCCACTGCAAAATTTTATGAACCCTATATGGTCTCCTTTTAATACCGTAAAGAAATTTACGGTTTTCCTTACTCGGGAAATACACGGCTTGTAGTTTTGAAACACCAAATATGAACGCAACAGCAGGTCGGGCTCAAAATTATTCGAGAATTAGAAAAGTTTTTGAATACCGAATTATACCCTTCCTTTGTTTATCGAATTGGAAGAAGACGTGATTTTCCACCGAATTAGCAAAAGAATGAATACTTTTCTGCATGTTTTCCATGAAATATAATTGGATTTTGTAAGGCATCGAAAATTAATGAGAAAAATGCATGCTACGCAAGTAGTCATTTTTTACAGCTCGTAGTTTTTGCATGTAGCCAGAACGAAGTTCATTTGATATCCGGTATCCTGAGGAAACTGAATTATTATAGAAGTACGCTGCACGATGTTTAATTATACGACCCTGTTTAATTAGTCTTTTCGAGACGAAAAAGCATTTCGGAATTTGGTTGACATTTTATGACTTAGCCCACTTACTATATATCGCTAAAGTTACGATGTACATTGGGAAGCTTTCAAGTTCAGATGATTAATGTTGGACGGCACTTTAAGTGTTTCGCGAAAAAATCTAGTTCATCTATCTACGATTCGTTACAGACATGAGTTACGCATGAAAAAATAAGCACTGATCAAATCAATGCGGAATTCTGGTTAAGAAGAATATTGGTCAGGTCATCTAGTGCCATAGTGCTTGGCTTAAATACCCCACTATGCGTCAAAACCGTACCGAAAGACCCAAGTTATTTTCGTTCTTATAGAGGCTCAGTATTTTATATCGGTTTTGAAATTATGACACATATTGTTATTTGGCTTACCAAAGATGAAGGAGCGGAAAGGGGAAGGAGGAAGTTCTTTGGGCTATTACTTGGATAAACCATTATCTTTTGTCTAGTCTCTCTGGTGGCATAATGGTTAAGATATCCAGTTTTTCGAAACGTCGTCGGTAAACTTCCTGAGGAGCAGAAGCTGGAAGTCAAGTGCATTTTGCATAAATGTCCTGGATGGCAAATGTAGTGTTGAGTGACCGATACAAAGTACGTTTCATCCTCGCAACATTTGTCTTGGTAATTATTTGCAGAAAAACTTTTGCCATGAATGGTAGCTGTCGTGTTGCGTAGCTGATAATATGGATTGTGCTGTACTCCATAATGGCGATCACTGTTGTAAACTGATTACAGAACTGAAAATGAGGGACTCCGGTATGTTGTAGGGCCAAATACCCAGAGCCCACGAAAGGAGTCGGTTGCGTGACCACCGCTAATCGTGAAGTGTTATCAACGAATATAGGGACACTGGAATGGATATTTTTGGCCAATATTTAAAGAAATCGAAATAAAATGAGTGTATAATTTCAGAACTCAGCCGGATCATCGAAGCACGTAAATCACTTTTACGCAGCAACTACAACCTTTTGCTCGTAGCATCGCGGATTGTTTATGCGCTTTCGAGTAGACACACATGCCATACGTTATGTGTACACCCCAGCCTCCAGAGCCTTCCACCAGCTGTATGGCCATTGGTTACTTTGTTTACACCAGTACAGCATCACTGACCCACAATCACACTTAAGGCATTGCTAGCCAGACATGTCTGTGGCCAGATGGCGAGCTCTCAAGCTTCTGATCGGAAGCTGTCAGTCGTCGCTATCATTGCCTTTATATACGTTTCCCTCGTCCAGACCTCTCATGTTGTGCCAGACGAGATCCCGCAGTCCTACTGGGAGATTAAGGCCCGGCAAAATTTTCAAAATGCACAACGTCTCTTCTCACCGATTGCCCAAGCTACACGAAAAGCAAAAAACGTGATTCTCTTCATGGGTGACGGCATGGGTTTACCCACAATCGGAGCAGGCAGGTTTTATCGGAGCATGACGACCAACAGTCCGGGAGAGGCGCGCCATTTCAGCTTTGAGAGCTTTGATTTTAACACTCTAGTGCGAACCTACGACCTGGAGACCATGGTCACTGACTCTGCCAGCTCTGCGACGGCCTTCTTAACAGGTAAGCAGAGATTAACTGCCCAAATTCAAGCGCTGTTTCCTCACTGAGTTTGGTTACGCATCTTAGAATGTCCCAATTTTAACAAAAGCCAGCGTAGGTCTTTAAAGGTAAACCTTGTACTATCTACCTCAATTAGGTACGAAAACTCGCACAGGGATGCTCGGCTTGACGGGAGCAGTTGCGTTGAGGCAGTGCGTTGCCTACACTTCGTCAGCAAAGACGATGTCAGTTCTAAAGGCTGCCTCGAAAGCAGGCAAGTCTACGGGCCTGGTGACGACTACACGCGTTACTCATGCCTCACCGGCTGCAGCCTACGCACATGCAGCACATCGTAACTGGGAATGTGATACGTAAGTATTTATTCGAATTCTTAACACTACTGCCCTGATTTGCCTGAGTAGGCAACAGGAATAAAAGTAAAGCTATTTGTGTTACCGATCGAGTTACCTGACTG